TTACATATAATTGGTTGACATTGTTTTTTAATAACTTTTTAATAAACAACGAGCGCCGGCTAAATCCTTCTGAGGGTTACTCAGGAGGGTGACCTTTATAATATATGTCAAGCCCAAGGTTATTGGAGGTGGGTGTGTTAATCTAAATAATTACCAGAACGTAAACAAGATCATAATCGACGCGAGAACAAAACTAAAGACTTCTATCAAAACGGGGACGCAAAAAGAAAATCTTGATCGAGCGAAAACGAAAAAAAAGATCGTGGTCACAGCAAGACGCGCGGGGAAACTGGAAGAAAAAAAAGGAGCGCAAAACGAAAAAAGGAAAAAACAATTATGCAGGACGCGGCTCCTCGGTGGCTTCACGCCCCAGGTCGCTCGGCTTTCCTCCTCGTCTACGGCGGTGATCCCGCGGCGTTCCTCCGCATGGACGGGAGTTGGCCCTCTCGCTGGGACGGGGTGGATCTTCCGCGGCCGCGACCCTCGACGCACGGGCCCTCGGCCCACCAGGCTTCCCCGCAGTCCGGACAGTCCTTTAACGTCGTATCCCGGCGTCCGCAGCGGAAGCAAAACCGCCTCGTGTTGCGGGGGCGCGGGCACTCGCTATAGTAGTGCCCGCGCGCCTCGCAGTTCCAACAGCCCGGGTAGGGGCGGTGGACCCAGTGAGGGCTGTGTGCCCTCGCCATGGCGCTGCTCCAGCTGGCTCTCGGCGGGTCGGGCGATGCGGCCCGCCTGGGGCCCGGGACTGGACGTGTCTCCTCTTCCGGCGCGTCCGTCGGCACCGCTCGCTCGGCGCCCTGGACCGGACGTGCCTCCTCCTCCGGCGCGTCGGTCTGTACGGCCCGTTCGGCGCCCCGGACCGGACGTGCCTCCTCCTCTGGCGCGTCCGTCTGCACGGCCCGCTCGGCCGTCGCTGGGCTCGCCTGCACCCCGACGTCAACGATGGGGCCCGCGTCTGGGTGGCCCGACTCTGGCGCCCGCCGCTGTTCAGCCGGACTCGCCCGAGCTCCTCTCGCAGCTTCCGCCAGAAGTCCGGGTCCCGCGCTGCGGCCTCCTCCAGCAGCTCCGCCGTCTCGCGCAGCGCTTGTTGCGCCGACATCTTCTTCAGCCGGACGCGATAACACGAAAACAATACCTACAACGCAGGTCAAGCCACATAGGGTTTTAAGTCTTTTATATGGATTTTCCCATGCGCTTTTCCCTCCGAGTCCACCAAGTCGTATACCACGGGTGATAGCACCCTCGCCACGGTGAACGGCCCGTGATACTTCGCGGCCAGTTTCGCTGCCACAGCATGCGCAGCGGACGACAATACATGTTGTCGTTTTAACACCTGATCACCAATCGCGAAGCGTCGATCGCGTCGACGCAGATTATAATAGTGCGCCTGTTTCTGGTGCGCCGCATCTAAATTTTCGATTACCCAGTCTCGCAAAGCCTGAACACGCTCCATGCGCTCTTTCCATTTCGCGGTATCGCTATCGTCTACTTCTAGCTCGGGATCGGCTCCCTCCGCGCGCACGTTGGCCGGAGCGGGTTCCCGTCCGAGATTCAAGAAGGCAGGCGTCGCCTGCAAGGAGGTGTGGAAGGCAGTATTATACGCGAATCGAAATTCCGCTAAATGAACGTCCCACTCCCTGTGGTCGCGCTCGAGAAATGCCGTAATCATTGTTTTTACTACGCGGTTTACTCGCTCGACGGGGTTCGCCTGAGGGTGATACGGCGGTACCGTCACGCGAGTGATGCCAAATTCTTCCGCGAGAGCTTTCAAATCCCGATTAACAAATTCTGTGCCGTTATCGGTTAATAAGACACGCGGCGTCCCCCAGCGATTTATTACCAAGTCCGCGATAGCCTCCCGAATCTTCTTGCCGTTCGCCTTACGGAGCGGGCAACACTCGATCCATTTCGTGAAGAGATCCTGGATGACTTGCAAATACACGAAGCCACTGCGTGAAGCGGGAAACGGACCCATAATATCCGCGGCTACAACCGACCACGGCGTGTTTACGGTACGTCGTCCCATCAAACCGGCCGGAACGTTCTGCTCAACTTTCGCTCGTTGGCAAACATCGCAACGGCGCACGAAACTCGCGACGTCGCGAAACATACGCGGCCAATAATATCTTGCCGCAACGCGCCGATACGTCTTTTCGACTCCTACATGTCCGGCCTGAGGCGGGTCATGATTGTCTCTAATTATTTCGAGACGCGAGTCCTGCGGAAGCACCAATTTCCACGCCTCGAGATCGTCCACGACCTGCGATACGATCGGGTTCGGTTTCCGAAAATAAAGCGAGTCCTCCTCGACTTTCCATCCCGGGTACTTACGCGGCTCGCTCTCGATACTCCGTACGCGCGCGTCGTACCAGGCGTCTCCCGTAATCGCGACGGCGCACAATTCCTCGGTGGTGTCGTACAATTCCTCGGCGGATTCGTACATCCGCGATAGCGCATCGGGAACATGGTGTAATGCCCCCTTACGATGCTCGATCTCGTAGTCGTACTCTAGTAACTCGAGGGCCCACCTCGCTAACCGTCCCGTCGGATTTTTCAAATTATGCAGCCACCGTAAGCTGCTGTGATCGGTAATCACTTGGAACTTATAGCCCTCGAGGTACGGCCTAAATTTTCGGATCGCCCATACAACCGCGAGGCACTCTTGTTCGGTAGTCGAGTACCTCTTTTCCGCTTCCGATAACGCGCGACTCGCGAAAGCAATAACGTGTTCTACGCCCTCCGATTCCTGGGTTAATACGGCGCCCAACCCGACCGAACTCGTGTCCGTCTGAAGCGTAAACGGCAACTCGAACTTCGGACACGATAACGTGGGTGGTTCCGTAATGCAGGATTTAATGGTTTCGAACGCCGATTTTTGGTCACCCCCCACTCCCAAGAGTAGTTCTTCCGGAGGAGACGTGTAAGCGGCTCTAATTTAGTAGCGCACTGTGGTATAAATCGGCGATACCAAGACGCCATTCCGATAAAGCGTCTCAGCTGCTTAATATTCCGAGGCGGCGGATACTCGAGAATCGGCGCGTTTTATCAGGATCGACTCTCAAGCCTTCGTGCTGTACCAAAAATCCGAGGTACTTTACTTGCGATCGGCAAAATTTACTTTTTTCCGGATTTATCGTAAGGCCGGCTTCCCTTATCCTATTCAGTACCCGTTTGAGCCACACGAGGTGCTCCTCGAACGAACGGGTGACGATAACAATATCGTCTAAGTAAGCGAACGCGTGAGGCTCCATTTCCGGCCCGATTAACCGATCAAGTAGACGCTGAAAAGTCGCGGGCGCTCCGGTGAGTCCGTACGGCATTCTCTTAAAATGAAACAATCCCTTACCGGGAACCGTAAAAGCTGTTAATTCGCGACTACTCTTTTCCAGCGGTATCTGGAAGTATGCCTGACTTAAATCGATGGTCGAGATATACCGGGCGGCCCGTAATTTATCTAATATCGCGTTCATGTACGGTAGCGGGTACGCGTCTTTTTTCGATACGTTATTCAGCCTACGGAAGTCGAGGCAAAACCGATACGTGCCGTTCGACTTCTTAATCATGACGATAGGCGTGGACCATTCGCTTTTTGAGGGCTCTATAACGTCGGCTTCTAACATCTTATCTACCTCCGCGTAGATCGTTTCCTGAATTTTCGGCGACACCGGATAGTAGCGCTGTTTGATCGGCGCGTGGCCCCCGACGTCGACTTTATGCTCGGTAAGCGACGTAACACCGGGCTTGCCCGAGTCACCCCCAATTTCCGACGCGAGAAACTCCGTTAACCGCTGTTCTTCCGTGGCCGACATTTCCATCAGGCCACAACAGAGCGGTGGATTATTGCGCGGGCGCCTGGTCCGCGCGCGCTTCGGTATCGCGACGGTATCGGAGAGCGCGGCTCGCGACGGACACTCCACGGCCCGCAGGGCCGTCTCCGCTTCCGCGGGCGCCCCTGATGGTTCGGCCGCCGCTCCCTCTGCGGCGCTTACGCGGAGCGCCTGGTCGCCGCATCTCTCGTCGAACGCGTACTCTATATTCGGAGCGTCTTTAAACCACCATCGTTGTGTCGCAAAATCTACTCCGATCCCAAAAAGCGAGAGAGTGTAAAATCGATCCCGATTATACACGGTAACGCGAGAGTCGGCAACGCGCACACTCGCAAGGGTTTCGTTCGATAGCGTACCGTAAACGGGATCTCGATCTCTCCCCGAATTCGCGTGGTTTGCCCCGTGGCGGTTGTCACGCGTCGTCCGCCGGCGCTTTCGAAATTCATACGTAATTCTTTCACGATCGCGACCGCGGCAGGTCCCAAAAACGTACGACTCGACCCAGAGTCCAACAAGGCGGGGATCTCTCGACCCGCAATTTTAACATTAATATACAATAACGACGACGCATCACGACAACCAAAAGCACTATACGAGAATTCACGGATACACGGAACAATGCGAAGGGGCTGTGGATTGGGGACAGGAGTCGGGTCCCCCTCACTCGTCGACTCCTCTACTCTTTTCCCGAACAGTCAGGGCAGGAACGCAAAGTGACCTCGGCACGATCGCACCGATAGCAGTGCATTCGCGGCGCGGCCTCACAGTCCCGCGAAAGGTGCCCTACGCCGTCACAATTCCAGCACTTGGCTGTTGACACGCGCGAAGCGCGCGCTCCCGCGCCCGTGGCCTTCGTTGGCGTAGACGTTGACGCGGCCGCGACCGCGTCGGTCGAATCTTCCGCGGCCCGCCCCTTGCGCTTTCTCTCCTTGCGCGAGCCCGACGCCGAATCTGTGGAGCTCGCGGACGAGGCGTTTAGCGCGGCTACCGTATCCGCTTTCGGCGCGTGTCGGTTATGACCGCGCGGCGCCCGATAGGCCAAATCGGGAAACAACGATTTTTCCGGCGTCGGCGGGGCGCGATAACGTAGGGCCATCTGATGGCTCCCTTCCACGCGTGCCGCTACGTACTCTAACGCCTCGAGATCTTCTACCTCGTCCCGACGCACGGCAATTTGCAGACGCGGCAACATATTTCTAAACGCGTAACTGACATGTTCCGCCTCGCTCCAGGGCGGCGA